TATATTAATAAAAAAATCTTAGTTTTCATACAACATCTTAGTAATATAAATTTAGTACTTTCTCATTAAGTTAATTTATCTATATAAATATGTATATTTACATATATGATGAATTTAAAGATCTTAAAATATATAATATAATATTTTTACATATAATTTAATTTAATTAATTTTACAATTATTTCTATATTTTTTATAAAAAAACACTTTCAAAGCATCAATTGTATGTATTTACTACCTTCACTATAAGACATGTTTAAAACTCATCACTAATACGTTTGAGATGCAATCCACTCTGAGCTTTTTGTAAAATATTATAATTAGTAAGCTTTATAAGTTCAATTATTTGTACATCCTATAAATATATATATTTTTAGATTTTAGACTTTTTTATGATATCTAAATTATAACATGGTTTTAATCTCTTTTATATGTTATTCATTTGTATAATTAAGATGATGATGTTGGATTCTAAACTTAATTTATTGGATGTAAACTTTAAAAAATACATAATAAATACTTTGTATTAGAGCCTGTTGCATATACTAGTTGTAATTCTTAACTACTTATCTTAGCTACTATTCATTCTTTCTACCTTTTACTTATAAGAAATTTATCTTGTAAAATATTTTAGAATTTAATATTATATATATATATATATATATATATATATATATATATCTTTTATCAACCATCAACATTATCCTTAATATAATTTTATTATAAATGAATAATTTAATAAAATATTACAATAATAATTGTATAAATAATGTAAATTCTATGGTATATTTTTTATGTTATTTTTATTGATGAAAATTATCTAATATATTGAATAATTATAGATTTTAGAGGATCAAACATATATTATAAAATATGTCAATTTTTCCATTATGTAATAATATTTTAACTATGTTGGTGACTCTCTAAGGCTTAAACAACATTGATTTTTTAATAAAAAGAATTATAACGACAGCCATATTTTTATTTTTATTTTTATTTTTACAGATGCAAGATTTATTTATTAATTAAATAAAATTATTTTTTTTATTAAAATATATTATTTATTTGCATTATGGTTCTTTGGTTTTAAATTCTAATTTAAGATGTATAAAATTTAATTTAAAATTTTAAAATACCTTATGCAATATTAATGTTTTAGCTTGCAAAACATTAAAAAAATAAAAAATGTTCACATATTAAAATTTAACAATATATGTATATATATATATATATATATATAGGAAACATCAAACCATCTATTTGTATTGGTGAGCAACATTGTCTTGCAACTTATGTATATATATATATATATATATATTAAAGAAATTGATATTTTTGCCTAAAATTTTATTATTTCTGCCCAACATCATTATGCATCCACTGCATTGTTGTCGTTATTGTTTTTGTTATTATTATTATTATTATTATTATTGTGATTTTGTGAGCAGTTTTATTTCAACAGTAACTTTATTTGGGCATTTCAAAATCAATTTTTGTGATCTTTCGAGATTCTTACCCATTGGGTTATAGTAAAGGCACATGTGTTGGACCTTGCCATCAAAAACAATCTTCACCATATTAGATTCTATTTTTAACAAAGATAAAAGGCTACTCCATTGAAGCACTAATTGATGCAAAATAGATTTTTAATAACTCAAAAAACCTAAATAACATTAACAACAACAATGTGGTGGATGTAATATAATTATGTGTAAAAATAATAAAGGTTTAGATAGATATATTTGTTGTATAGCATATTTGCCATAATGCTACTCATAATTAGAAAAGATATCATTGCTTTTCTTTTGATTCTTGTCCTTAATAATATTAATATATGTAAGTCCAAGTTTTCAAAGTATTTGGTGGCTAAACCTTTTTTGGACTCTAAGCATTAATTACAAATAGAATAGGGGCTCCAAAAACTAGAAAAATATTGGTAAAGTTTGATCATTGATGGCCTCATTTTTAAAACTTAATTCCTCTAAAAACATTTATAACATTTAAAATAGATTTTTTTGGTAGAATCAAGAATTATTAGTTATTGGTTGATTTATTATCTCATATAAAATTTCTAAATTATATTCATATAGTATGCAATATATAAGACATTTTTTTAATATTTTTTTTAAGCAATGGCTTAGGAAAAAATAAAAGAAAAACTGAAATTTGAAGTAGGTATGGTCTCCTTTTGAATTGATTTCTAGACATATTTTTTTCGTATATAGTATTATATATATATATATATATATATATATATATATAAGATAAAATACTTCTTAAATAAATAAATATGTTAATTGATATTCTCAAATAATTAATATTTTATTCAAGTATGTCTTTAAAATTTCATGTAGATATTCAAAAATTGAAGAAAGTTCTTTGTTCCATCTTATAAGACTAGCAAAGATTAAATTTAATAAAATTGGTGTCCAATAAAGAATACTATTTTTTAAATTTCTTAATTAAAAATTATATTTACATCAATGAATTAAAAAAATAAGTAAGAGATGTTGTTAGAATTAATCTGGATGGCTCTAAAAACAAAAGAAAAAAATCTAATATATATATATATATATTTATTTTGGTTAAACTTATAAATTTATTTTTTTGCCTCATGACATGTTTTTGGTCAAATAGAGAAGATTTGCTAACATATAATGCAAAATTGAGTAGGTATCAATTATAAAGTATTTATTTTAAATGACATATCTATTAATAAATAAAATATAAAGTTAATACTACCACAGACATATATATTTTTTGTATGTCTTTTATAAATAAGATTTTTTTTTACTTAAATTTTTAGATATATTTTTTTAAAATTAGAAGAATTGGAAATTGAACCACTCCTATACTTTACACACTTACTTCTAATCCAAAAAAATTAAGCCCTTAGAAAGCTTTTTCTTTGAAACAAGATTTTTTTTTAATTTGTTTTCTACTAAGATTAAAAACTTTACAATCTTTTTTACAAGGATTGTATCTTTATGCTATTTAGATGCAAAAATAAAATAAAATAAAATAAAACTTCTTGAATTTGAAATATTAGGTGACCTACATACTTAAAAATTCATTTGAGGTAGTCTAATTGAATTTAAAAAAAATATGTGAAAAACAAAGTCGAAAAAATCAGCTAAATATTCAAATAAAAATAAATATAAATATTTCTTAAAAAATAAGATATTTGATTGGTAAGAAATTTGGTTGGAAAAAAATTCAATCAAATAATTAAATATAACCCAAAAAAACCACAATATTGTATTGTTGTATTGTAACATGGCTGTAAGGTGAAATAAAAAAAATATGAATTATGGTTCAGAAAGACATGAATAAAAAATATGAAGGTTGTGAACATATTTAGTGATAATACTCTCTTTTTATAAAAAAGACTTGTACTTACTTTGTAGAATCATAAATAAGACAAAATAAAGTATATTAGAAAAACAAATAATATAGAAATTATATAAAAAAAATTAGATTAATTTATAGCAAAAATTATCTTAAAAAGCTAGAAATTGATGCCTAAAAAGAATTGGTTGTGAATCAAGGTTAAAATCGGACCCAAATGTAAAAATCTACATATTTATGCCAATTCTACAAGTTATTTTGATGGTTGGAGGATGGAATTAAAGAAAAAACTAAAACAAGATTTTTGGACAATAATTTTGGATGATTTGAGTTTGTAATGACTTTATAACAGCTTTGCAAAATTAAGGATATTTTTGAGTATCTTTGGTTTTTGTGAAATAAAAAGAGTTTGTATTTTTGAGCATTTTGTGAAATTTATAGTGGATCTACTAATGCACATTTGTGGATTTGTAATTATAGTTGTATTATATATATGATTAAAGTATGAGTTTGATTGGGCGGTTCATTTAAAGGTTATTGAAATTCAAGTGGATTGAGGTTTTAATATTTGAATTGGAGGGCTATTGATGGTTTCTTAGATTTGCAACAATCCACTAGTTGAATTAAAGTAAAATTTAAAACACTAATATTAAACTTGATTTTCTACAATTGCAAAAAAATTAAAAATAATTTGATGGTTAGAACAAGAGATGTTGGCACTAGGATATTGGCATCAAGGGTGGAGAAGGAGGATATTGGCATCAAGGGTGGAGAAGGAGGCTGACCAAGACTTGAGCTGATTATGAGATTTTTCTCTCATTGGTAATTTTGATTTTCTTCAAATTTATTGTGTTTGTTGTCAACTAAGAAATTGAAAAGATTGTAAATTTTGAGTCAAGATTAACAATTAAATTATTAGTTATTCAGGTTTTGAATGTATTGTAGGATTTGATTAGGGTTTTGATTATGGTTGCTTAGGTTTGTCTAGGATTTCATTAGGATTTGTTAGAACTCTTCTAAGATTTCATTATGAAGTTTTAAAGTTTTATAAGATTTTATTAAAAATTTATTAAGGTTTATTTGGAGATTTTTAAAAGTATTTTTTTAAGGTTTTTTATGATCTTTTAGGATTTCTTTATAGTTCTTTTAAAGTTTCTCTAAGATTTCTTTAGAATTTGATTAAGGTTTGTTCTAGATTGTTGAGGTTCAATTTGGGTTTATTTTAAATTCTATTAGGATTGTTAGGTCTTTTTTTTGTTGTTGCAGGGTCTTAGGTTATCTTTCACAGCCAAGTGCTAGGTGCATTCTCAAGCAAGACAACACATGATACATCAACGTAATAATACACAATAATCTAATAATATATGTCCATTAGAACTTCTCGCCAATAAGGTTGTTCTTAGATCTTCTCACTAATAATAAGGTTGCTTTCACGTGTAAGGATGTAATTAGATCTTCTCACTAATAATAAGGTTGCTTTCACGTGTAAGGATGTAATTAGATCTTCTCACTAATAATAAGGTTGCTTTCACGTGTAAGGATGTAAGCTTCTTTTACCAATTCCTATACCTGATCGGCTCATCGAGGATATAACGTTAAAGGTTATCAAAAATTAAAATGATTGTTCTTTGTCAGCAAAAGCCATTATCAGGCACTGGAGCACATAAGTTGGATGGATGTCGAATGCGTGAATGAGTAGGAATAGCGTGGTCACCCACCCATACGTCCTGACACCGACGACAAGACCGATTTCTGTTTCCGTGCACTATTTCACTCTCAGGTGAGTTTTGTTTGACGGAAGTGGCAATTTTGCTTCGGGGAATTCTTAAGAAGCGCGCTAATGGGCTGCGCATGCCACGCTCTCTCTTTGGCATTAACTCGTTTCGCTGTTGAAACTGAATGTGGGTTTTCAGAATGCAGGGTTTTCGTCCGAAGCCGTGGCAATGCCGCTGATTGCACAGCTGGTGCTTCTCGTTTTGCAACACGATGAGCCGATGCATTAGAGAGTTACTGCCCTCGGTTAATTAAATTTGATGAGGTACAATTGGGATTGCGATTGAAGTCATTCTTTTAAGACTTTCATTTAGGGTTTTTGGGTCGACGCCATGGCTGATTCCCAGGAAGGCGGACCACCTCTGAATTCTCAAGCTGAAGCAACATTACAGCAGCTGCTTGATCGGCAGCTGTCCACTACAGGGAGGTATAGAGTATTCTTGATCATGCTTCTCTCATTAGTCCTTTTGATTAATTAAGGAGTTATTGACAACAGGCGGTGGATATATAATACTGTTTTCTTACACAAAGCGAGCCTAATATGTTGCGGGCTGTTTCTGTTCCAATTCAATCGCTACAAATTGCAATTCTATCGTGGATGAGATTTTCCTTTCTATGACCCGGGATTCTGTTATTTCCAAGAAATTAGTATTATTTTTCAGTGAGACCTTTTTGTATTTCCAAACCTTGCATTACTGCAGTCCACTCTCTTCCAGGGTTGCAGCTCAGAAACTTGAATCGCATAGTGGACGTCATTGTGAAACCATCACCAACCTATTCTAAATGTCTCATTCGTAGGTTGGAGCTCGTCGATTTTAAAGAAGCTACAGAGAGCATGCGATGCATTGGACATGCTTCAGGTGGTGTTGCGAGCTTGACTGAGTTTCAGGAGCATGCAGAGAAGCAACGGCAAGCCGATGAAAAAGCTTGGGCCTTGCGCGATCTTTTGCAGTCAAAAGGCTTGTCTGATTCTGAGATCAAGTAGAAACTTTTCGCCATTTCTTAAGTATTTACCAATTGCTGGTGACCTCAAATATTACTTTTATGTAGTACTTTTTGTTAGCGTAATTTACTCTTCAGTTTTGTGGAGCATCAAGTTTATCCTGCTGTATGTTTCTGTTGTCATGTCGTATGGGAGACTTTGCTTTTGACGTTATTTCGTAATTCTGTAGACGATAATTGATGCCCATCTTGCTCAGGAATCACATACAAAAGATCGGAGGAGCGGAGGCTTCTTCTTCGCCAGTGGGTGCTTCGGATAAGGTTTGGGCTTTGTTGATATTTGAACAATGTGAGTCTAAGTTTCAAGCACGTAATAATCACGCAGTGTAGTCGTTTCTATTCAATGGCTCTTCCTGTGAAATTCAAGCATTCAGATTAGTGAACTCTACCGATGTATGGTGTGTTGAGGTAGAAGTTTTGGTCAAAATGTTACAGAGCATTTCTAAGCGCAAGAGGTATGGTGCTCACCCACGTTACATGCAAGGGGAAGAAGCTGAACAACAACAATTGATGGATTTGTGTCAAGTATCAGACAGTGGGGCTGAAAAATCACACCAAAAGCATGGACATGTACCTGGTCCTAGCTCCTTTATTTCCCGGAGAACAAACGCTGTATCTGGTGGTATACTTTCTGTTGGTTCTAGACAATTTGAATTTTCAGCATTTAACAAAGGAGACTCTCAGATTATGTTGAATGGATGCCGCTATGCTTACTCAAAATTGTGAATTAGGTGCTTCTATTTGCTAGCCCGTTTGAGATTTTAGAGTCCTTTCTCATTGATTGAGAATTTTGTTTGCAATGGTAATGGATATCAGAACCAATGATCATGGGCGGTCGCAAGGCTTTGTTTAATCTTGACCGGGGTGAGCTGTTTAAAGGAACAACGCCACAGGTATTGTTGTCGAATCGCATAGTCCTCCTGATTGCGCATTTTCCTGGTTGGAATTCGGGATCCTCATTAAATTCAATGAAAGTTATTTATATATCTAGGACATGGTGTGAACTATTATTCTATGCTAGATTGACCTTGATAATGTCTATTATTGAAGGATTAGTGTTTTCTATCTAAATCAGAGTATTCATTTCCACAAGTGCACTTATGCTTTGATTTTGGTTTTAAGGAGCGGGCACGCTTGTCAGAGGAAGATGGACCCAGGAGTGTTAACGATGTCTTCGCAAATCCAGCTCCGCCTGTCCTTGACATGTACACATATCTTGAACAAAGGCGGCAAGGATCTTTCTTATTGAATGTTGGGCCTTCGCTATTGGAGGGTTCCGAGCCATTAGCTTCTGATTGCTTGCCCCAACATGATTCAGAGGGAGAAACTGGGAGAAGTGGAGCGACTGCTACTACCGTGACAGAAGTTCCAGAAGAAGTTATAAAAGCTAACCGAATGCCTGAAGGAGAGATTCGTGGGCTTCCAGGTGGAAAGTTCGCAAATTATACATCTGGCTCTCCAACAAATGTGAGGCGTGTGACTATGACCTGATTCCTGTCTTGTTTATTTCTCATGAATATCCGAATCGATACTGCATTGGTTAAGCAGAATAGGTTCACACATTAAGTGGAGCTTAAGTGCCGCTTCATCAACGTGGTTTTCACCCTTGTTGGATGATGCAGACTGTATATATAAAGAATCTAGCAGCAGACGTAACAGAACCAGATTTGATTGGTATATTTGGTCGATTTGAAACCTATGGGAGGCCGAAGCTGATATATCGTTTGATGCAACGTGGACGAATGAAAGGCCAGGCTTTCGTGACCTTTGCTGGTAAGTGCCTTGCCCCCATACCTATATTTCTTTTCAAAGTATCAATTTCTGAGAATGTAACTGTTAAAGAACCGATGGTGGATTCGTCCTCGCAGACGTGGAAACTGCAACGAAGGCCTTGAAGCTGGTACATGGATACATTCTTAAGGCCAAGCCTATGGTGATTGAGTTTGCAAGGGGTGTCAAACCACCTCTTTCCGCGTCTGAAGAAGGTGGAGAACCTGCTCCAGCTCGGTCTAGAAGAAGAAAAGCCACAAATGACAAGCGGGCCTCTTAAGTTCAGATTTTGCTTGCTGGAATTAACTCAGTTTAGGATTTTGAATTTTCTCCTGTATATTGTGTTGCTGTACCTCCCATGCACTTGACCTTTTCTTCAGGTGTGCCTTTCTTACCTTAAACTCCAATTGGCCCAAATAGAATCATCAATTTTGTGCATCAACAATCTATTAATGATGATTAGAAATATAACCAAAATCTTTTCACTTAGAGTAATAACTACAAACCACATTTGATATGACTAGTCTCAGTAATTTTCGCCTTTATGTTCGTATTCACTAAACTATTAGGAGTTTTTAAAATGAGAAATAATAAACATGAAATAATGAGTATTTTGTAGAACTAATTGCAATTTAATTTTGCTGCCAACACTAGAAAGAAAGGTAGATTTTTGACGAAGTAAAGTCAATTTTTTGTATTAATTGTTAGAAAACATTACAAATTAGTTTATTTATATATTTATTCAATGTATACCCATATTTATTATCATTATTTTTATTTTATTAATTTTACAAGTATCTAACTTATTAATTTATAACAGAGAAAATAAAACTATATTTTTTTAAATGGTAAACATTTAATTACGTATTTTAATGCAAAAACATCTTTAAATCATTTATAGGCCAATAATTGAGTTGTGAAACAAACATAGAATTTTATTAGATTACAAATATCATCATGTTGAATAATAAAACTGATTTTAAATCTAGAATATTAATTGTTTGATATCAAAATTTATCTACAATTTATTTAATGTCATGCATGAAGAGATGATAATAAAGTAATTAAAATAAAAATAAATAAATGTTTAGAAAGACAAATCACACATGTATCAGAACTTTTAAATTATTCTTTTATACAATTGGAGCAATAAAATTCTTCGTTTAAAAAAAATATAATTGTGATTTATAATTATTTTTTGAAGACGTGATAACTTATTATTTTTTATTAAAATAAAAAATCTAATTATTTCTTAGTAATTTATTGTAAATTTATACTAAATTAACCACGTAAAGCAAAAAACACAGTTAATAACAAACTAAGAATGAAGGACAAATCAAATAAAAGAAAGATGATCAAATCAACATATGACTAAAAATATAAAAAACTAATCATAGTCTATTTAGAAGAATTTTATTTAATAAAAAATTAAATATAAAAATGAAAGGAAGTTTTAATATAGGTGCTTTTATTATGTTTTCAATGATGTGAACAAACATAAAAATCCAAATTATTAAGAATAAATAAGAGAATTTAAAGATTAAAATTTAATTAATTAATTATTAATATAATTTAAAATTAAAATTCAGTATAAAAATTTTAATTATTATTATTATTATTATTATTTTAAGTATTTATTCATGTAACATAAATCATTAAAAATTATTTTTTAAAATTTTGAATTTCTTACAAAGCATGTATGATTTTAAAGATAATAATAGAAAAATTAAATAAAATAGATAAGAGATTTAATATCTTATAAATAGATAAATAATTCTAGATTTTTTTATAAAATAAGATATTTTTATTTTTAAAATAAGAAATATATACATATATAAAAAATTATAAAATATACAACAATCAATCTTATTTCAATATTCTTTTATATATTATTTTATATTATTTTATTTTTAAAATAAATAAATTATATTAATATAGTTATTTTATTATATTGATTTTAGCATAATAACCATGTATTATTATAATATTTTTATTTAATTTTTCTACTTATTCATATATATATATATATATATATATATATTGATTTTAGCATAATAACCATGTATTATTATAATATTTTTATTTAATTTTTCTACTTATTCATATATATATATATATATATATTTATATATATACATGCATATATGTAAAGGAATATTAAACACATCTATGATTTTACTAAATAGATCCACCATTCATAAAGAATGTAGTAATCATGATGAATATGGTGGATTTTTATTGATTGCAGATAAATAAATCTAGAAATCAATATTTTTTTTCACGATAGTCAGGATAGGTGGATTGATATATATATATATATATATATATATTTATATACACATTGCATCTTTTAACATGGTCTATATAACATTGAGTTAACAAAAAAGATTACATGGCTTTGGTATTACATACAAAACATAGAGATTTTTTTTATATATAAGTATTATATCTTTACAAAAGAATTAAATATACAAAAATAAACAAAGCATAGTAAATTCCTATAATATTATTAAACATATTATTTTTAAGAATAATTTAGAATGATATTTTATTTTTTCATAACATTCTTATATTAAGTGTTATCTCTATCCATATTCATCTCATGCAAAAGTAAATAATTTAATTTTATATCCTAATTCTTTTATAATAGAATTGATAAAATAATACACTTAATGTTTTTTTTTCTTAATATGCACTACTTGCATGTATTTCTATTGTATAAATTTTTGGTGACCAATAAAAAAAATAACTTGATATAATGACACAAGTACAACTACAAAACATGATGTATCAAAATTTAATATTTTGAAATATTTAGCATCTTTTGCATTAAAAATATATTACAATAATTCAATTTTTTTAATTTTAATTTATTATTAAATTTAGTATATATTTTAAAAATAAAAATAAAAATAACTTGCAAAGGTTCTTTTGCTATTGTATAATTAAATATCTATTTAAAATTTATACGATTTTGATTTTGATTTTATATAAAAGAAATATACTTACATCATTTTTATGTTGTAACATTAATATATTTAATATCAATAAATAAATGTAATATGATTATATAACTATTATTTTATTATTATGGATTGATAAAGATCTAAAATATTAAAAGAAAACTTATATATAAGTTTTATGAATTTTTTTACATTTTGATAACTATCAAATTAAATTTAAATAGCACATTTATTTATTTTATTATATTTTTTAATAAAAAAGCTTCTATCTCCTTGATAGGACCATGACTTGGCCAAGATGAGATAAAGTAGATTAACATAAAATTTGATTAAATCTAAGAAAAATTAAGACTAGGATCATACAAATAAATTGTAAAAACATACCAAAGAAACAAACGGTTTCTAATGCATGGTTGAAATATGACCTTAAGGTTCACAAATGATTGCTTAAATTAGATGAAATTCTTAAAGAATTGAGATGTATGATTAAAAAATTAGCTTCAAGTAAGTAATGTAAAAATGTCTAAATAAAATAAAAATATAGTATTAAATTTATTTATTTTTAAATAAATTATATATAAAAATCAATTTATTTTCAGTTAATATAAAAATATATATATAAATGGTATATTCTTTATAATTTTAAAATTATTATATTAATACAATTATTACAATTAAAGATAGATGTAATACTATTGTATTGTAAATGCTTATAGTATGTAAAAATTAGTTAAAACATATTTTATGTTTATAAGTCTTGATGTGTGTTAGAATGTTTAATAAATTAATATAAAGAGAATAGATATAAAAAACTTTATTTTGAATTTTATCTATTTTTATTATAATATTAAAATTATATAAGATCTAAATATTTAGTATAAAGCTTTAAGAGAAGGTGGAAGCCTAAGGATGAAAATCTAAACTATTAGGAGGCTTATGGAGAGGGATGAAATCAAGGCATGGTTGGATGAAGGCAAAAGATAAAGATCTTTATTCCTATTGGTCGAAGACCATGTCCAATAGACATTTAGCAGGCAGTCTGCAACCATAACAAGGATTTTGGCAACTTCAAAAGAAGAATTCAAGAATCAAAAGCAAGAATTATAAGATTTATAATTTGGACTATAATTTTTGTAAAAATTTTAAAAGATTTGGAATTAAGGTGATGAAGTTATAGCCATTTGAAATTAAGGTATTGTTTAAGATATACTATCGCTAATTTGAGAATACAAGAAGTTTTATGATAGAAATTTTAGAGATTTGGAGATGTAATTACAAAGGTGATTTCAAGATCTACATCTTTTGTTAAGGAATTTTTGCATTTGGAGTTTGTATGAAGAAGTTATAGAGCATTGAAGATAGCACATGTAATTTAGAGGCAATAAGTAAGTCGTTATATTGATAGTAATGGTTAGAGCCATATTATGATTTTCTAAATAAATTTTTGGCTAAAAATTTCTAAAAGTGTGTGTTATTAAGTTCAAAAGCTATATATAAAAAATTTATAGTATTTGAGTACTTAATTTGTGAGATATGAAGAAATTTGCACAAGGGTGTATATAAGTAAGGGTTTGAAGCTACTATTAGAGTTTTGGCAATATCTCGAGTTTTGTAATGAATTTATAGTTGAAATTTGTTGTGATAGTTGTTAAAAATACATCAATACTTTATGTAAAATTTGGATTTTTTTGGATAGTCCAATCATGAGATATGAATTTTTAGACTTTGGAAAGAATTTACTTGAAGGATATATAAGTTTTTAAGATATTTTTATCACATTTTTGGTGATCTTTGATACTTAAGGCTTATATATTGATTTAATTGCCTCTATAGGCATAGTTTTATATATAGATTTGGTGTTTCTTTTATCTAAAGGCTTAATTGAGCATTTAGTGATAGCCAAAAGTCCAATGCTTTCTTAAGACAAACTCTCTCTACCTCAACATATTGGTGCTTTTATTGAAACCACATTAAGGCACTAATTCTTCACAAGTCAAGATGAGGGATACAAAGCAAAGAGGTTTAAATGATGGAGGTAGTCAAAATCTTGCAGATGAATTTTTAAGAGCCATACAAATATTCATAAGCCAATAAATTACTGATGCAACTTTGCAAGGGGCTACCAAAGCATTGAGAGATGTTATTGGCAAAGTATGGAGATTTGATGGGAAGAATATCACTAAATTTTTGAGGGTCTATACTTATGAAATGAAAATCTATCAAGTTCCAAAAGATAAGATGATTGAGACCTTTGATTTAGTAGTTGTCCCAAAGATCAAAGAAAAGATGAAACAACTACATAGGAGTATTGATGTAAAAACATGGATTATATTTAAGGAAAGATTGAGAGGTGAATACTTTGATAAGAATAGTAAAAAGATGACGAGGAGAAGTTTCTTTGATTGGATGGAGCAACAATCAAGTAAACATATGGGACCAAATAAGTTGCTAAGGGAGTTTGAGAAGAAATTTGGATAACTTCTATTATCTGAGAAGCACCTTCTAGAAGTAAAGAAATCATAGCTGTTCTTAAAAGCTACAAATGAGGTGCTAGAAGATAGATTGCTTTTCTTTCTTCAAGATGGAACAACAAAAGATGGTTTTATTACTGATTGGAGAAGGTTAGAAGAGGTGATGAACCTCATTGCTAAGCAACAACATGTAAAGTCTAGAGGATTTGGAACAAGGATGGAAGCTTTACCACTAAAAGGTATAAAAGCTCGAACAAAAACTTTGTCCACTCCTACTTCATCAAGCTCTTTAAGAAATAAGAATGTAGATGAAGAT